AGCCACTCCCGTGCTCCTTCAGGATCATGCTCCCCTTTGAACGTAGGTGGATGGTTCCTCGGGAAAGTTTCCAAAGCACGAGTTCCACCGTTCCCACCAGTATTAGGCTGATTCTGCATTGCCTGAGCCAAAGCCTGCAATGCGTTAGCAAGTGCACCATTTCCTCTTCCAGCCATTACTCTCCTTCAAATCACAACATCAAACAACGGTTAGATATCAATCATCAATAGTATTCCACTATCACACTATGCTAACGACTCAACAACCTGGTCGGACGGATCAACCTGCTCTGATACCAATTGTAACACCCTATTTTCCCCCGTCGAATAATTAAATGAAATCAGAGTAATTAAAATTTTCCAATCAACATCAAAATAGGATGTCACATTTCATCATCTCAAAAATTGCTCAAACATTAACAAATGGATACAAAACAAATTATTTTCAGATGAACCGTCATCATAATCATCATGGTATTCAACTTCATCTTTTTAACGCAATGAAAACAATCCAAAATATAATTGGTTTACAACTCCAACAATCCACAAAATAACATCTCATCAAATAAAGTGAAATAAAAGAGTTATGCTACTCTCATAGTTTTTCAAAGACAACAACGACTAAATAGGCAAAACAACGTTCATCCCTGGTGTTACTTATCGGAGCAAGACCCAACTCGATCTACACAATTACGAGGCACAACTCCATACCTCAAGCAACTCTAAACTTTGTCACCTGCACGTTATCCACAAAGAGGCAACATTCAAACAGAAGGGGTGAGATATCATAACAATATAAACAAATATATGATAATGAGCAAGTAAAGTACAACATACATAATCATTCATTCACACTTCATGCATCAACATAAATACACAATATCATTTCAACAATCACACCCAAACAAACAACAAATCATATCTCTTCAACAACAACGTCATAATGCAATGAGACCAACTTCCCTAAATATATGTATGTGGTACCATAACAACGTCTCTTTGTCATTTAGGCTACACCATCACTTGCCGTTAAGGCTACACTGTCACTTGCCATTAAGGCCACACCGTCACTTATGAACATGCATACAACATTAACATGTTATGACAACAAATGCAACATCATAAAACACATCAGCAACTAAGCCATTACAACTCGTTAATCGCACATCATTATTTATATACCACCACAACATCACTACGTCATGAAATTTCTTCATATTCACAACTTCGCAATTTCAACAAAACGTCGAAATAAAATGAAATTTAGGAAATCACTTAATATCGTGTTCAAACCATTTTTATCGAGCATAAAATATTTTTAGCTTGTCATAGGTTCGAATGGCGCGTCAAACGCACACCCGAATAAAAAGTTATGGAGTTTTCAAAATTTCAAAATCCTGTCTAACACAATGGTAACCGATTACTGCATTACGGTAACCGGTTATTGAATGAAACAATAGTGAACTACGCAAAATCCTTCAGTGGTAGTCGGTTACTTCATTACGGTAACCAGTTACTGCACAAATCAGTAGCTTTGTTTTTCAAAAATCTGTCAGCGGTAACCAGTTACTTCATTACGGTAACCGGTTACTGCGTAACACAATAGCCTCTTTTCTTTAAATTTTCACGTGGTAGTCGGTTACTTCTCAGTGGTAACCGGTTACCATTTCTATTTTTTTAAATTTAAATTCTGTAATTATGCAGGTTGCGATTTCTCTTCTCAAAACACTCAAATTCATCAATTCCCATCATGAAACAGAAACATTTGTTCTATCAAACCATGTATAATTCATAAACATCAATTAAGATCATTCTATACCATCAAAATCAAAGGTTTTTACACCAATTCATCATCATCAATCGCCACATACACAAATCACACAAGCACCAAATTCACACAAAGATTATCATACAATTATATAACCTAATTCTACCATAACCCATCATCATACAATCCATTATATAGTTAGAACCCCACCCTTACCTTAAGTTCTTGAGTTCTCTTCCCTTCTCTAATGGAGTCTTCCCTTTAGCCCTAAATTCTTACTTTCTTTTCTGTTTCTCACCTCTACAATCTATTTTCTCGTGCTCTCACTTCTTGTTTCCTAATAACAAATATTAGACCCCTAAATCTATATTCCCATCTTGCCCTTCCTTATTTTTAATTAATCACTAATATTATAAATGACTTTATATCTATAATAAAATAATAATAATAATACTCATATTCTCTATTCACCTCATGTTCCCTACGCTTTTAGTCATACACCCTCCCAACATCTCAACCTCTAATTTCACAATTGCATCACATCACATCGTAAAATATTTCAACACCAGCAAACACATCATCTCATGTAATTATTTTTAATTAAGAATAATCCTAATTAAATCAGAGTGTTAGACCTTACCTATGATGATACCCACATAATACTTTACTCTCAATTCAGACATAATCTCAGATACCTTGACCTTATCCTGTGACTTTCTTTTCTCAACCACTAACTTGGATACCCACTCGGAGTTGGCAGACTTGTTATTTAAAATCCTAGGACAAGTGTGTGACCCCACCCATGTTTTTAATTGATATGTATGTCTGTCACCCACTTTACTACACAACGCTAAAAAACCACATTTGCCCCCTATACTCTATCCTAACCCTATATCTTTCATTTTTTACAAACTTAATTTTCCTCCAAGTCAAAATAGACCACTCCCTTATGGCATCTTTGAAATCATTAAGTGAATTAAATTCCATACCAAGTTTGAACTAAAAATCTTTGTTCATCAACTCACCTCTGAACTTCTCATACTTAGGCATCTTTTCATTACTACTATCATCATGATCTGAGCTATCTAATTCTTCACTACCATCATCCTCAACTTCTCTTGCAATGTTAGTGGGGGTTCCTTCTAGAGCTAGAGCCCATTATTTTTGTAGGAACCAATACACTTATCTTGGAGGGTCTCTTCAACACTTTTTGCTTCTTGTTAGCCCTTAACTTATACCTAACATATTTGCCATTAATCTCAACCCTGACACCACTGTTTGGTCTTTCCACCTCAACTCTCACAAACCCTTCATTATTTTCACAAGTTCTTTCCTCTTCACTGTCATCAAATCTAATGCGTCTAACATCATCATCACTACTTCCATCATCATCAATATTACCATCAAGGCTATCTCCATTGACTTGAAGAACATTAGGACTTGCAACCTTGCACATCACATCTGCTACATCATGCTCAACCCAAATATGGCAATCAACTTTGTTATCAACGTTGTGTTTAGAAATTGCTCCACTTGTAAACATCATCAACTACTTGAATAAACCCTTCGCCAATCCCTGAGATTTTTATCCACAACCTAAACCCATCATACTCCCACTCCTTAACTAAGCTCACGGCCTCAAAAAAACTCTAAGTATCAGTTTCTTGACCTTCCACTGTCGTGTCAGTTTCCCCTATAAAATGTGAACTTATCATGCACGAAATTTCCACCATGGTGGAATATGATGCTGAAGACGTCCATTTCTACAAAGACGGAAATACCCAATGATTAAACTATTGAGACCACAACGACAGTACAATAAAAAAAGTTATAATGTTAAACAATGCTTACCTTTTTGCAATCGTACGTTGTTGTCAGGATACCACGCTTTCCAGTTTCCACACAGTATCCAACGATTCAGACGAAAACAAGGGCTAAGAAGATGACGATCTAAATGGGAATTAGGGTTCATGTACTTTAACCTTGTCTTTATAGGGTTACAATGTTTTTTTACAACATAATTACAATGTTATACTATAAGATAAATGACATGTGTAATATAAAAAATAGATTTAATTTAAATAAAAGTCATCTCAATAAATCCACGTAAACCAGTTAGGTGACATGATTTAATAAAGGGTGAAAATAACAAGGGAAAATTTTCAAAACTCGTCTAAATGACAGAGAACGAACTGAGTATTAATCCAATATTATATTTTGTTAAACTTATATTTATGATTCTATCATTTATAATAATATTTTACGTGTAATCAAATTTCTATTTTATACTTACCCAAAAAAATAATTCTATTTTGTACATTCTTTGTTCGTCTCATTTTACACATAAATTTATTCGTCATCTCGATTTTACATAAATATATTCAAACACATCCTACTTTTAAAATAAAATCAATTTATAACAAAACAAAAATATAACTTTAACTTTTATTTGTTGTTCATCTCCATTTACGTTAAATGTATTCAATCATAATCTATTTTACATTCAATCATATACACCTACTTCCTTTTAGTGAAAGAAAAAGAAGGAAAGAAACAAAAAATGACCCAATGCTGGAAACAAAGGAAAATTTGCATCAGCTAATGGTTGCCAACATTTGGTGATTTGTTGCGAACAAATGTCTCAACTTTGTTCCCGGATGACTATTTTGCACCTGTGATTTGTTATATTCCAAGTACAATACATGCACTTTTGGCAATTGTTCACAAACAATTATAGGATTTTTCTGTTGCATGCCAAGGACTAAACTCTAACTGCTGTACAATTCAAAATCCAGTTAATGATCGGTATAAAATTGTATTGAGCAAAACCAAACAACAGATTAGAAGGTACATTGATCCATTTTATTTTCTAATAATGCACAGCAGTGCCTCTAACATAAAATTTGACCTCAATTTTATGTAGTTAAATGCTTAGGAGAATTTCTTTTTCTGCTTGAATACAAACTGATGAGCACCAAAATTAGGGAACAAAGTATTTTAATGAGAAAAGTATTGAAGATATAATGGGGAATGGGAAAAGCAGTTTATGAGGAGGAACAAAAACATTATAATCAACACAAGTAATAAATCATCAATCAATACAATAAAAGAACAAGCAACCACAACAGTGAGCTTAAATATAACCTCATGGTGTGAATCTGAAACTAAATCCAGAACAAGGATCTGATTGTACAATGAATAAGTAAGTATCAAAATAAGCAGTTCCAACCCGATCAGCATGTATTAACTCCATCTTTGCAATCATTAGTTAAATTATAGAACGTTTCAACCCGAGTCTTTCCACGGTAAAAGACTTCCGTATCCACCGCAACTCTCATGTACCCATCAAACTCAACAGGCTTCCCATTGTTGAGAAGACTGGTTTCATTGTACCATTCACTCGAATTTCCCCACAGTTCCTTATAATCATCAAGCAAATGGACTTTGAAACTCGACCTCAACTTATCAAAGTAATTATAATATGGCTCATTAGTAGCAACATACAAATTCCTCCAAGGCTGAACCATCCCTTTGAGCTTCTCAAGAAGAGTATCCGGCGAAGTATCGGAATCCAAATGAGGCCATAGCTCCTTATTCTGAGCTTTCTCCCCGCGAACCACATGAACTGCATCGAAATCCCAGTCCATCCTTCCACTAATCTCAGTAACAATGTTCATCAACCTCTTGGATTTCCACAACGCATGCCAAGGTCTCTGAATATACTTAGCCGCTTGACCCTCACAAACCCTATACCAATAATTCTCAGGCTCAGGCGAATCGAATTGCCTCCAAATGACAGTGGTCTTATCTTTCTGAAGCTGCATAGGAGTAACCTTATGAGTAACAACTTTCCTAACAGGAACCTTCCTTTTCTTAAGATGAGTCTTATCCCATCTCTTCCAATCTCTCAAAAACTCACCTTCTTCCACAATAGAAGCCACCTCCTTCAAATGCTCGAAATCAAAGTAATACCTAAAATCCTTCCCTTCCTCATCTTTATTACTAGGGTTATACATTGAACCTAAACAAACACTCAAATCCATAACAAAAGTTCTATTCAAAAACATAGCTTCCCCCAAACCACACAAGAAACTCCACATATAATGATTCATCCCCTTGCAATAATCACCACCTCGCGAGTAATACAAGTACTTACCATTCCTGAAATTACTCTCGGATCCCAACGTCGGAATCGTGTCATTGATCTCATCATCTCGCGTCGAAATGAGCGGCACGGTTTTCCCCTTACCGTCTCCTGTTCTTGACCGGAGCGCTGGATTTCTCCGGGCGTTAGTGCCAGAATGAAATCTGCCAGCATGAATAACCTTATAGTGACAGTCATCGGTGACAGTAATCTTGAACCGACGAAAATCGCGATACTTGCGCCATGACTTTTCTCTCTTGTTTCGGAAGCGCCAGGATACATCGCACTCGCCGGGAACGCTTCCGTTTACGGGAGTTCGATACTCGAAGAACGAAATGGACTTGAAAGCGCGGAGGTTGAATCTCTGGATAGTGATGAGAACACGAGGATCGGAGCAGTTAAGCGTTTCGGGGAGGTCTTCACAGGCAGTTGAGGAGTTGGTGATTTTCTCCTCGGATTTTTGGATTAAAGCTTCGGTGACGGCGGGGGTTGCGTTAGCGGCGACGGCGGAGGAGGGAAGAGGGAGAGGGGAGTCCTGTGGGGAGAGAGGGATGTCTTCGCCGGTTTTGATGACGGAGGTGTCGATTTGGAAAGTGGAGTTTTGAGTTTGGGTGAAGAGGTTGGTGAGAGCTGGGGAAGATTGAAGCCATGGATCAGGTGGTTGGTATGTGATTGCGATGACGGTGAAGATGAGAACTGAGAAGACGAATATCGAGAAACAGAGGTTGCTTATGAGTTTGATTACGTTTTGGGCTATGGGTTCGGTTCTAATGGTGGTTGTGGTTGAGTTTGAGTTTGAGTTTGAGTTTGAATCTTTCATTTTTTGGGGTTTTGTTTTGAGATCTGAAATTGGTAATGTAATGCGAGAAAGTGGTGTTGGAGATTAGAGAGGTTAGTGTGGTGGTGAATGATGATGGTGACGGTGGATCTGATTCTGAATTTGGTGCGCAGCTGTATTCATGGAAGGAGTCATTTGGTTTACTTGGGTTTACTGTCGCCACTCGCGACTTCCCAGTTGTAAGAACACCAGAGGAAGCCTTTACTTTTACTCCATCACCATCATTTTTTTTTTAAACAAAACAAAAAATCATTCTAAGGCAATAATTTTTGTAATTTAAAAACGAGTGTGATGATTATTATTAGTATTATTATTTTTGGTGCAAATGTAAGTATTATTAATAGTTGCCCGTGTTAAAATAAATTAGGAGCAATATTGAGATGAATCTTAATCATAATAAGAATAAGAAAAGATAAATTGTTCGTGTAAAATTGATTTAGGTGAGGGGAAGATAAATTTATTTATATTTCAATAAATTTATTTATATTTCAATAATTTTTATAATAAAATTTAAATAATTAATTTCAATGCAAAAATTACATTTAAATTTAAAAATTGGCGTTGGACCAATCCATATTGAAATGTGTTATGACTTTAAATGAGACCCTCACTAGAGGACGGTGAGATTGATCTTTATGACTTAGTCGGTTTCAAAGTCAAATACAAAGATTTAAAAAAAAACTATAAAACATAACATCAAATAAAATCAATTTTGAAAAGTATTTACTCGAAAGCAATGAAACATGTCAAAATCAATTATACACATTCAAAATCAATTCTGAATGGTTCAAATATGAAATTAAACACAAGCTAAAGGTATAATACATAAGAAGGTTTACAAGACCTCCTCTACTATGTCCAACTTTCACATCGATACTTGCATGATACCTTTCCATACCCAACATGACTTGAGATAATGCAGTCAAGATATGGTGTTGGGTTGTAAAATCATATGATCTTACATGTTGTGATCGTCAAAATGTGTTGAAGTCCAAACACAATCATTGGTGGGTGTTGTCGTGGTCAAGATCGAGTGTTATAATAAGGATCATAAGTCATTATGTGCATGACCATCCGTTCAACAATGAGTTTGCTAAATGAGTCGAGTTTGGTGGAAAAACATTTTCTTAAAACATATAAAAGCATGGTCTATTTTATCACATCTTTTCAAGTTTGGCCAGCAAACTAAAAAACTTAACTCGCGACACTTTCAATGTTGGGATTCTCCATCATTATCCATGTGACTCCTCCATGAAGTCTATGTTGCACAAGTGACTTCAAGCACGAGAGAGAGAGGGGGTAAATTGTGGTATTTAAAATTTGAGATTAATTTTATATGTTTCTCGATTAAGATCGTATTACTAATTGGTTGAGTGATTTACAACGGAAATAAAGTACTGAAAGTAAATTGCAGAAATTAAAATGATAAGGTCAGAGAAATTGCACCATATATTTATACATGTTCGGCCGAACGTTGACCTATTACAACAATTATATTTCCTTTTTAGGCATAACCTTCAAAATCTCAAGAAGACCTCTTGGGGAAAGACTCGAATGATAGTTATATGATGGATAGTGGTGGGACTGCTCATGTGTTGATTGAGTTGTTAGACTGCAAATGCAATGTTTGTGCTTATGTTTATGAGGTAAATGAGTTGGCCAACTAGTGTTCTATAGGGAGTTGAATATGATAAAGGGATTCCTTTAGTGATTCCTTTAGTGAACCGTAAGTGTGTATCTCTGGACATGAGAGTGGTGGCGGGCTTGTATCTGTTTACAGTGATTTCCGGTAAACAACCGCTAGTCCTCCAAACTATCGAATAATTTTACTGACTGTTATTCAATTTCTCTGGTAACTCGCAGGATCGACTAGATTGATCCTAGGATGTGTTGGTCATTAGGGTAACTCTCATGATAGAACTGGTATTCATGGTTGGTATTTAGAATGTTGTGTAGGTGTTTAACTTACTTCGATTACTCTATTAAAGATCTAAAGGCGTGATCAAGTAAATGTGCGCGAAACTAAATTGCATGAATAAAGTTCAATTGTAAAGACATGTAAAAACTACATAAAAGACAAGTAAACGACTTCGAAGCATAAAAACATGTAATGTAAAAGATTCTCTGGAATGTAAAAGATTTGAAATATGAAGAAAGCGTTTAAATGCAAGAAAACAGTAAAATGACTTTAAGTAAAAAAGGTGTTCGAATGATAAAAGCTTGAAGATAAAGGCATGAAATGTATAACAGTTCCTGAAATGTAAAGTATTTGAAATGGAAAGAAAGCATTTAAATGTAAGACATCAATAAAAAGACTTCGAATGAAAACATTTTAAATGCAAAAGCTTTTGAATGGTATTGACATGAAGATAAAGGAAAATACTGGAAATGATAAAGAGTTTTCATTAAATCATAAATACTTGGTGTTATCATACGTACATTGCTCGTGCATTCGTTTCCCTAGCCATGTGGTATTTTGAATGTTTACTGAGTTTTTTGTACAATAGATATGACACCCGAAATCCTAATGCTAAGACTTCTATTTATACTACTTCGACCATAACGGTCTTGCTATAAGATTCTGCCACGTTCAAAACATGCAGAGCAATGCCTCTCTCTTGCTTCCACGCGTCTTCGAATGCTCCAGCGCATATATTTCAAATTTCGAACATCCCGCTTGCATTTGAATTTCAAATGTTTTGGCACTTCTTCGCTTCGAACGCATTTCTTAGATACAACCTTGTTATCATTTCGAGACTTCTTTGAATATATTCTCATAACTGTCACTCGAAACCCCAAACTTTGATATGCCCATTCGAAGCACTGCTTCTACCATTTCGAAACATGACATTTTGCTTCATTTCAATCGAAACGTCCAATTTGCTTTGCTTCTAATAATATCATCAAAATCTTCAGCCAACAAAATGCCCCTTTAAAATGTGTATTTCGATTCCTTTGAGAAATACTTATTTTAAACATATACACAAGATTTTGATGCGACCTTCGAATCATCGTAACATTTATTGCATATGACTCCAGTCACGTCAATCACAATGCTTTTCAGATTCCTTAACCGCCTTGAACCATTTCACAGCATGGTGCAGTTACAAAACAATGATTATCTTTAATCACACCTATTACCAATATTAACTTTACGCCACCTCCTTTTCAAACCAACCCATGACTACCACGTATCACCATCTTACTCAGTGGATGCTTAAACTTCCACATTATAAAAACCCATCAACTTAGTCTTTTCTTTTCTTCCCACATTCTGAATCTTTTCTTCCTCTTTTCTCACCGAAACCCTAAACTTCCAACATTCTTCCAACAATGTCTTCTTCAACTTCATCTCAACTAAAAAAGGCTTCCAAAAAGAAAGGAAAGACCACAGGAACCACAATGGAAAGCAAGGTTGGCACCTACCAAGGTCAATCTGTTCTTGTTCCCCAGATGATCTCAAAAGAGAAAGAAATGCGTTATGCATCCCAGGTACTAATTCCTACTAACGCTGCTGGCAAGAGGTTAGCTTTAATGGGCCCTCTTACAGTCTTTGAAATTTTAAAAGACACCAGAAAATTTTTCCCAGTTTGTTACAATTTCAAACCTCTGTTTAATAAAATGGATGCCCCTAAGACAATAAAGTATTCTGATTCAAACCCCGTGGAAAATCCAATCGTTCCCCCTAAGGACCCTTTTGTACTAGATTATGTAAAGAGTAACTTCAAACCATTTCGATCTTGCCCCACCTCCGACACAGCTTATCACAACTGGTTTAATAAGGTATAAGCTAAGAAATCCCAGCAATGGGAAGAGTTAGGCATTTACAACTTGATCAAACTATCGAAACCAGGTTTTACTTATAGCCACCCATTGTTATTCGCGTCCCTATATTTCTGGGACAGTACTTACAATACTTTCCATCTCCCTGGTGGAATGATTACACCTACCTTTTTTGACATAGCAGCCATTACTGGGTTATCACAGATAGGAGAAACATATATTCTTGACAATGAAGAGCATTCGAGTATCATTGGCTTCGAAGTCAAGCTAGCTAGCTTTTCAAAGTTTATCAGCCACTATCACACTGAAGGAGACAGTGTGTCGGATGTAGAACACATTGCTTTCCTTACTTTATGGTTGTCCAGGTATGTCTTTTGCAGCAGATCCCTACAGGTAGCCAGTAGGTTTATTCCTCTAGCTAGAGATTTGCATGAGAATCGGAGGGTGTGTTTAAGCGAACTGCTATTAGTTGATCTTTACGAAAGTCTAAGGTCAGCTGTTTCGAGTCTGAAATCTCACACCTCCAAGAACATCCTGCTAGCTGGCCCTTTCTGGTTACTTCAGTTATGGCTAAATTCCATGTTCGAACCCTCACTATCAACTGCCAATACTATTGCTGAACAAGACCCAGAAATAGCGGATAGAATCATTGAAGGCACTAGGTTGCGAAGACTAACCCCAAACGATGATAAGGATGACTTCAAAGTTCTATTCTCAAAATATATCATGATATTCTCCAAGAGGCATAAATTCGAAGAGACCATGGCGCCTTTTGCTTCAAGGACTCATGGACCTTCATGGTTCACCATGGCTCTCTCAGAAGCTGCCAAAAGCAAAGAAATTCAAGATGTATGGAGAGCCTTTTTGCTACCCAGACTAATCTCTTCAAGAATTACTCCTGCTAAGAATCAAATTTTCCTTTTTGCTTATCAACCCAACTTCGTTTCGAGACAATTTGGCTTGTGCCAACTAATTTCTGAACCCCTATTCCAAACGGAAAATGCTATCACCTCTGGGCGAACCTTCAAGGCAAGAGAAGCCAAACTACAGCAAGAACAATACCAAGGCTTCGCCCATTTTGAACTAATAACTTTCGAACCTACACACCTTACAGCAAAGGGGTTTCTGGAATGGTGGACAAAGTTCTATCAGACTTATATGTTCGATACTCTTACTATTCAGCAGAAACTAACTGATGCATTCGATGTGCATGTACCATCCAAGAAAGGTATGTTCACTCATGCCAAAGAGATTAAGGCTTTTCAAAATTATTTCGAAACTACTTATGATCCCACACACTTGGAATCCACTGTGCATCAAGCGGCTGAGACCTTGAAGGAAAAATTCAAAGAAAAAGTTTCTAAGTTAAAACTTCCTTCAGGGTTGTCACCTGAGGATAGGTATAGGTTGGCATTCGAAATGCATCCACCTAAATTTCCTAGATTACCTACCTCAGAACTGGCTCTAGCTTGGTTTCCTCCATATCCTTGGTGGTTC